TTATTTATTTATTTACAGTCATTTTCTCAGTAATTTTTTTATTAGATAAAAGTTTTGAGCTTCGATTCTGGGTTGGTTTTGCTTTACGGATTTGGTGATGGGTTTTCTAGGAAATGAGGATTTTTGGATGGAAAATGGACTTTTGACTTTGGAGTTTTTTTATTTTATTTTGTGATCTGTTGATGTTTTTTTTTTCCCTTCAAAATGAAAACTTTAGGCCTTGTTTGGCTGCTGAGAAAATTGTGGGAAATTAAAAATGCAGGTGTTTTTGCCTTTTTCCATATAATGGTGATTGGATATTGGAAAAATGAGAAATTTTACCATAACTTGCTAAATTTCAGCTCAGAGGAATTTACCTGATTGCATAGAGGAATCAAAGCTTGAAACTTTTCCCCATTTTTGAAGTTTTGGATTTATTTTACCAGATAGCAAATAAAGGCAGTCTATAAGTAGCAAAGCTTTTGTGAGAAATTGGTGTGCTTTTCTTAAAAGTGATGTTCTTTGCTTTGCAGTTCAAGCACTTCAAGTTTTGTACACCTCAGTAAACAGTCCTTCTCAGCTAACCGGTTGGACAAGTAGTGGCGGTGATCCATGTGGAGAGTCATGGAAAGGGGTAACTTGTGAGGGCTCAGCTGTTGTTGCAGTGTATGATTCTATGTTTCGAAAATGTGGTCGGTTTTGAAGTTTATTCAATTAATTGAGTTGCTTCATTGACATTGTTAATGTGTCTTGTTGTTGTTATAACAGAGAGGTTTCTGGGTTAGGTCTCAGTGGAACTATGGGATACTTGCTTTCCGATCTGCTATCGTTGAGAAAATTGTGAGAGTGCTATTGCTCTGTTTTTATTTTGATTTTGTTTAGGATTTTGCAACAAATTCTATTAGTTTCAATTGATTTGCCGAGTTATTAATGTCATGTTCTTTGTGTTCATCAGTGATTTGAGTGACAACAATTTTCATGATACAATCCCGTATCAACTACCTCCAAATCTTACAAGCCTGTAATGCCCAATCATTTATATATTCATTCTTTTGTTCTTGTACGTTGTTTTCCTTGCTACTAAGATACTCAATTGTTATTTTTTCCTTCTTGTTTTGTGTATGTATATACAGAAATCTTGCAAGGAACAACTTCACGGGAAATTTACCTTATTCTATTGCCAACATGGTTTCTCTCAGCTATTTGTAAGTTTCCTGTATTGAATTTTATGAAGTTTCATTAACTTTCTCCTGCAGTTCCGCTATACACCATGAGGCTGTTCTAATGTATTTGTAAAATCCATGTTTTTAGGAATGTTAGCCGTAACTCACTATCCCAGTCGATTGGTGACATTTTTGCTCATCTTGTGAGCCTTGCAACCTTGTAAGATACCTTACCCTAGCACTCTTTTGCATATGCATTCTGCTATCTTGATGTCGTGAATGTTTTGGCTGCATTGTTTAGAATTCCTTTTAAACTAATTCATATGGTGGGCTGCTATGCTTTTCCTTGCAGGGATCTATCTCTTAACAACTTCACCAGTGATATTCCTAGTTCCTTAAGTTCATTATCCAATCTTTCTTCCCTGTGAGTTTTTTGAAGTACTGATTTATTTTGAAACTTCTGTTTGCGAATATTCTGCTGTGTTTATTTGCACTAACTTGTAATGACATATCAATTTGTGCCAGCTATGTGCAGAATAATCAGTTGACTGGTTCTCTCAATGTTTTGACGGGTTTGCCCTTGACTACTTTGTAAGGGTGTTTTCCCTCCTTATTTTGGCGCTCAGAATTCTACTACCTAACCTTATACCTTTGTTGTGCGCATTGTTATGAGCAGAAATGTTGCGAACAACCATTTCAGCGGGTGGATACCTAGAGAGCTTAGTTCAATTCGTACTTTTATGTGAGCGCCTTCTTTACTTAATGCAGATCTGTACTTTGGTGCTTCACTTTTTCAATACATCTAATATTATTCTTAAAATTGAAATAGTTATGATGGAAATGGTTTTGATAATGGTCCTGCTCCTCCGCCACCACCATATATCCCACCTCCCCCAGGAAGAACTACTAAGAATCGCAGCCATTCTGGATCTGGAACACCCCCACGGGGATCTGATGGCCAATCACATGATTCAAAAAAAGGGCTGGCTGTCGGGGCTTTGGTAGGGATAATTCTGGGTTCTGTTGTTGTTGCTCTCATTGTCTTACTTGCTCTTGCTTTTTGCATTCGCAAAAACAAAAGGGAGGACAGGACTCCAAGAGCTTCTGGTGGAAATGTCTCTGCTCGCACAAATAATGGTATAATCGCTTTCCTCTTCTTTTCATTTTCCTTTTCCTTTTGAAGTTTGGCTTTTTAATAAACTAGAAATATGATTTGAGAGGCACGTGGGTTCTTTGAAACAAGATTCATTTTTAGTAGTGTAAATACTAGTACTTTCCCTTTTCAAATAGATGTAAAAAGGGTTAGAGCTAATTCTTACAAATATTTGTAGCGGTATGCTCTTCTGTGAGTATCCTAACCATTTCCATGCTGCATCATGCACTATTTTGCAGTAAATACTGAGATGCAAGAGCAGAGGGTAAAAAGTACGGCTGCTGTAACTGATATCAAGCCCCCACCCGCAGAAATATTGGTGGTTGATAGGTTACATAGTAAAAATGGATCGACAAAAAGGATAAAATCACCTATCACTGCTACTCCTTATACTGTTGCCTCTCTCCAAACAGCAACAAATAGCTTTAGTCAAGAATTTCTTATTGGTGAAGGTTCTCTTGGTCGTGTTTACAGAGCAGAGTTCCCTAATGGAAAGGTAAATTTGTTTACATTATTGTTGTTTTCTTCCTTTTCTTTAAAACAATAATATATCCATAATTCCATATGTACAAATTAGTGATGGTTTGCTGATTTGGTGTAATTGCAACACAAGTAAAAAAAAGCTAAAATAGGATCAAGTTTAGTTTGTTACCTGCCATATAGGCTCCACTAAATTCCGGCATCCCGAGCTTTTACTTTTCTGAGGTCATTTTCTCCTGTAGTACCAACTGTTATACTAGTGGCACATGAACTTATTTTTCTTTGTCCTTTTTCGGTAATGCAGGTAATGGCCATTAAGAAAATTGACAATGCAGCACTATCCTTGCAAGAGGAAGATAATTTCCTTGAAGCTATTTCAAATATGTCGCGCTTGAGGCATCCAAACATTGTTACATTGGCTGGATATTGTGCAGAGCATGGACAGCGTCTTCTAGTCTATGAGTATGTAGGAAATGGGAGCTTGCATGACATTCTTCATTTTGCTGAAGACGGCAGTAATACTCTGACTTGGAATGCTCGTGTTAGGGTAGCACTTGGCACTGCTCGAGCTTTAGAGTATGTTACATATTTCAACATTTAAATTAGCGTTCGTTTGTGTGTGGTGTGTGGGTTATGCGTGGGTTAAAGTTGCACGATATCTGCTCAAAAACTAAGTTATAGATTCTTCTGCCAGGTACTTGCATGAAGTTTGCTTACCTTCTGTTGTACATAGAAACTTCAAGTCAGCAAATATTTTACTTGATGAAGAGCTTAATCCCCACTTATCTGACTGTGGGTTAGCTGCTCTAACGCCAAACACAGAGCGACAGGTAAAACTGCTGAAGTTAAATTGTTCTCATAGATTGTGAGCAAATATTCAGTCCTCATGCTTTTGTTGTGTACGAGTGATCAATTCAAGTTCATGATTCACAGGTTTCAACTCAGATGGTAGGTTCATTTGGTTATAGTGCTCCCGAATTTGCCTTATCAGGAGTATACACTGTAAAAAGTGACGTCTACAGCTTTGGGGTGGTTATGCTCGAGCTGTTGACTGGTCGGAAGCCACTAGACAGGTACGCCTGGCCCACATTAATGAATTGCCTAGTTTATGTGTTCTTTTGCTCTTCCTTGAAATTTCTCGATTCTTTTTAATGTTGATTAATGGTTTCCCATTTCCCTCGAGTTCTTCTAATGTTTAGTTCAAGGTCAAGGTCAGAACAATCACTTGTGAGATGGGCTACTCCCCAACTACATGATATAGATGCCCTATCAAAAATGGTTGATCCGGCTTTAAATGGCATGTATCCGGCAAAGTCACTTTCACGTTTCGCTGACATCATTGCACTTTGTGTTCAGGTAACTTCTTTATTAATGCTAGTAGGATTTTTTTTACTGTAGTTATATAAAAAAAAAACAAGCAATCAGTTGCCCACTGCCTTTAAGAGCATCACCAACGGTTTAAAAATAAGTGGTTGTCGTAAATGTCTTAAATGCGAGATCGAGCTGCTCACACAGACGAAGATAATCGCATTTTTCTGTCTTCTCGTCATTTCTCCATGAGGAAAGTAAAAGGGTTTAGGTTCTTGGAGGGATGGGGGAACATTCAGTTCATCTCGTTTCTCATCTTTTAGAAACTAACCTATTTGCATATTGTTTTTTATGCATGTATAGCCGGAACCCGAATTTCGGCCTCCCATGTCCGAAGTTGTGCAAGCACTGGTCCGCTTAGTACAAAGAGCAAGCGTGGTCAGACGTTCAAGTGACGAATCTAGTTTCGGATTCAAGACCCCCGATCATGAAGCAATTGACATGTCGTTTTAAGTGTCCCCAGCATCCTTCTCTCTCCTTTCTCTTGCTAGGAGAGATCCTATAGCTTGTGTGAGCTGACAGATTTGATCCCAAGCCTCAGGAAGGAGACGACTCAGACAAGTGACTTTTTTTCTTGCCGAACATATGTTGAAGATATTTGCAGTTTTCCTTGTACAAATGGCGAGGCGAGGGTTGGATGAAACACATAGAAGCGGAGAAAAACATGCAGATTTGTGCTAAAATTAGATTAAAAAGATATGTAATTATGATTCATAGAGTTTATCTACACACAAAAATAAGTCTAAAATCACTGTCACTATACAAATTATGAGATTTGTGTGTTAAAAAGTTAATAACTTAAAAAATAAAATTTCTCACAAATTAAATAAAAATACGTACCATTGTGTTCCGTTGTAATAAAAAAATTTCCTTGTACTTGTAACTCAGACGAGTCCGGCAAATTCCAGTCCCAATCTCCGCCCTTCCATTTTTGGCAAACTCCGACATCTATTTTTAGCAACCTCGGACCCGAAATCGCCGCGTTTCTCCCTCAGGTCCCAGCTGCTTTGTTATGGGTCCAAATCCATGCGACCCGACGGCACACAAATCGATGTCCGTAAACATAGTTCAAATTGAAACAGACCCACCTCAGCTCAGCCCCTCGACCCCACCACCTCCTCCTCCGCTTGTCCCAACCCCACCTTGCTGCATTACCGGTCCGGCTCCTCCACTCCCTGGAGCCGCCCGTCATCCCCAACTAGCTCGCCGGGAATCTGCCTCACTGGGAATCTGCCTCACTTGGTTTTCAACCTCGGAGGCGCAGCCGTCGTATTGGGAGATGGATAGTGGGCTAAAGATGCAGAGGAGGGCCTCGACCAGGAAGGTGGCTGAGAGGGCATGGTGTAGCAAAAAGCGAGCGAAATGGTTTGTGGGGGTGATTGGATTGTTGGTTTTATTTTTCTTGATGAATTGCGTTATGCTCTTGCGGCTTCAAGATCATGGGATCCGTTCTGAATCTGGGTTTTCCGGGAATTCGTCTGTGTCTTCGGTTTCTGTCACCATTCGGGTATGTCGTTGATGCGAAAGTTTCGAAATTTTTAGCTTTCGATACAAGCGATAGTCTACTTAAAGCTAATTTGAACTGCGGGGAGGGTGATTCAAACTCGGGCGTAAGAGCACCACCGCTTGATGGGAAAGTTTTTAAATTTCTGTTTTTGATACGAGCGATACTCTACCTACGGGGAGGAGAATTCGAATTTGTGTGCTTATGCGGGAAAGTTTTTACCAGATGGTTTTAACATATTCCGTCTGTGTTTCTTACTTGGTATGTTTGCAGGAAAAATGGAGAAAAATTGGTAAAGGAAAAAAGGCACAGAAGGGTAACTATGGAAGGATGCTGGCTTTGGCTTCCCTTGCATTGGCAGAGGTACTCTCTCTCCTCTAGTTAACTGGATTCTGAGTTTAGTTTTGATGCTTTAATTAATGACATCTCGATCTAATCACTTGGTGTGGCTCGTCGGATTTATTGATATGATGCAGGGGCAGAATAAACCTGTGCCGAAAGATCTGTGGCTGGAGCCATTAGTTCCTGCTGTTTCCTGGAAACCTTGTTCGGACCAACGGAGCTGGGAACCTAATGGTAGTCCTTTATTCATGCATTTTAAATATCGCAAACAACACTCGTCCAGTTTGTAAATCATTAAGCTAGTTCTGATATCAACTTATCTGTGGTACATTATAGCGGGGAAGAATGGATATATTTTGGTCACTGCAAACGGTGGGATGAACCAGCAGCGAGTAGCTGTAAGTGGTGCTTGAGGCCCTCACTCTTTTTTTTAAAGATTACTAGTGTGCCAATTCCATGAACTTGCATTGAGTCATCATAACTTCGAAAACGTAAATATAGGATATGGTTCTATGGGCCCTCATTTTCTGCGATATCAATTTTTTTTACCTAATAGTTATTTCTTTGGCTACAGGTTTGCAATGCTGTCGCTGTTGCACGACTACTCAATTCAACCCTGGCTGTTCCCAAATTTTTGTAGAGCAGTATATGGAGATGTGAGGTGACTTATTTTCCTTTTTCTACTCAAGCATTTTCCTTTGTTTCTTGTGCTATACGGCTGATGTCATTTAGCTTCGGGATTCAAAACTCAAATGGGGTTCGATGGTTGTTGGGGTGATTCTAATAATTGTTTCACTGTTCATATTTCTGTTGATCACGGTCAAAATGGTAATATTTGTGGGTGCTTTCTTCATATACTGCTCATGTTCTGATTGTAGTAGCTTCGTGTATCCTATATCTCATATTTTTTGCCTTTGAAATAATGATAACTAATTGTACGATTTCATAGTCAGGTTGGCGATATCTATCAGTAGGAGCATTTTATTAACTACTTGACTCCTGATATTCGGATAGTGAAGGAACTTCCAAAGGAGCTACAGTCATTAGATTTGGAAGCAATTGGTAGTGTTGTAAGTCCCTCAGTGACATTAAGTATTCATAACCATCAAAGTGTTTTCTCTCACGATGAGTCTGTTCCGAATTCTTGTTATAATTTTTCCAGGTGACAGATGTAGACATCCCCAAAGAGGCAAAGCCAAGTTTTTACTTGAAACGCATCATCCCCATTCTACTTAAGAACGGAATTGTACATTTTCTTGGATTCGGGCATCGCTTGCCATTTGATCCCATACCATTTCAATTGCGGGTAGACAATAAGCTCTGGCACCCTTTAATCATTTATTTCTACGGAATTTTTTATTGGATTGCGATCAATCTTCCTCACATAGTTTCACTTAGTTGCTTGCTTGCTTGCCTACCACTTTTCATGTCCACTCTTCCTAATTGGGGAACTTCATCTAGAGACTTCGATGCAGATGTAATTTTCACGCCCTTCAATTTGTCCCCAAGATACAAGAAGTTGGTGCTTTACTTCTTCAAAGATTGCGCCTAAACAAAAGTCACCCTGGACAGCTTGATCGCTTTTTTGTTGGGTCATATGCAGAACCAGTCAAGAAACAAAACAAAAGCCGTGCTAAGAAAGCTTCCAGATATCTAGCTTTGCACCTGAGGTTTGAAATTGACATGGTAGCTCATTCTTTATGTGAGTTTGGTGGAGGTGATGAAGAGAGAAAAGAGTTGGAAGCATATCGTGAAATCCACTTCCCCACACTGACACTTCTTAGGAAGACTAAAACGTATGCAGTATATAATTTTATTGGTGTGTTTTTGTTTTGATAGTTCATGATACTAATGGTAGATTGAGAAAATATTTGCTTTAAGGGTTTCTGTTCTTTCACTTGGCACTTTCTAAATGTTTTTGAGTTTGACCGTCTTATTGAAATTTTTCACTTGTTCCAGGCTGCCTACTCCTGCAGAGCTCAGGGAAGAAGGCTTCTGTCCCTGAACACCTGAAGAAGCAGTACTAATGCTTGCTGCTCTTGGTTTCAACCGGAACACACGTATATTTGTGGCAGGTTCACAAATATATGGAGGTAGATCAAGCATGATTGCTTTGACTAGCTTGTATCCGGAATTAGTGACTAAAGAAAATTTGCTCACACCGACTGAACTCGAACCTTACATGAATTTTTCATCACAGGTAATGAGATGCTGTAAATATTTAAGATGATTCTTACATTTCAGTTGTACTGCCGCTTTTACATGCCTAAGTTCCTTCTATAGTTAGCAGCACTGGACTTCATAGGCTGCACTGCTGCCGATGCATTTGCCATGACCGATTCAGGAAGTCAGTTGTCATCCTTGGTATCCGGTTTTCGAATATACTATGGTGGAGGAAAAATGCCAACAATACGGCCAAACAAACGCAGGCTTTCAAGCATCTTTATGAACAACTCCACTATTGAATGGCGTGTGTTCGAGCAGAGAATTCGAAAAGCAGTTAGACAAACTAAACACATCCAGCCAAGGCCGAAGGCAAGGAGTATGTATAGGTATCCACGGTGTGACGAGTGTATGTGCAACATGACAATATCCTCCTGACATTTGCTTCCTAGATTTGTGTCATGTTTTTTCTGACAGCTTGCCGTATCCGCATATCTGACTAATCCGGAAGGGTACGTTTGATCTCCGCTCCAATCCGACCAGGACAACCCACCAGAGGTGGCCACATACGAGCGTCCCCCATATGGTTAATTCAATTGTAATATGTAAATTCACATGATTTGTATAAAACCATTGATCCAATCATAATTTAATCATTCAAATTCCATTCATCAGAGTTGTGAAAGCTAAAGCTTCTCATCATTTTGATATCGAAACCGGAAAAACCGATAAGGGCATCCGGACAATATGATTTAAACTTCCAGTAAGAACAATTTCACCAAATGTAAAATCATCCATCGCTTGGGTCACTTTAACTTGTACATCCATTTCTTGGATGCCTTGTGGAGCAATTCTAAACCAAGTTGGACACAGATCCACTATTGTCCCATTAGGTGACACCGCAGAGGAAACAAAAGTCTCCGGCTTGCTCCCCACGTTATTGAAAATCCGTCGGATGATTTGAGACCCCTCAATGCCGATATTGTTATCGAAGGAAGGTTCAAATTGGCCGGATGGTCAAGTGTGTAGTTGCGCAGTTGTCCGGTTGCATTTCTAATTGTAGCTGGACTTTTGATTTCAGGCAATGAGCACAAGAAGCTGATATAATCTTCATATCCAGAAGGTAAGACTAGGCCGGGATCCATGGCTCGACTTGGACTGACGAATCCAGCTCCTAAATCAAAATGGCTGGACGGATATGTACTGCCTATGCCGGATCCTTCTGCCATTTCAAGTTCTCCGTTGTTGTCATACTTTGTGGCAGTGGTGGAAATTGCAGACGCGATCATGGATGGAATCCATGAAGGATTGTACTGCTTGATGAGTGCTGCTATTCCCACTACTTGAGGTGTTGCCATGCTTGTACCAGATTGTGGTGCAAAATTGTAGCCTAAAGAACAGAAGCACGAAGTGTGTTTTAATTCTTTGCTTGTATATCAAGTTATAACCTGAACAGTACAAAAAGATTGTTGCAGGCTTGCAACTTCTTCTCACCTGTTAAAGCGGGCTCTGAGGCGCTAAAGGGACTCCAAGCTGCCCAAATTTGGTGCCCTGGGGCAAGAATATCCGGCTTTAGTACATCACAAGGAGTCCTGGAGGTGTTTGTGAAATCTGGTCCCCTGGAAGAGAATCTGCTTACAACGGGCGCTTGTCCCATGAAAGAAGCAACTCTTCCTTCTCCAATAGCTGCTTTTGCTGCAAATCGAGTATCAAATCCTTTCTCCTCGTGTGTTTCTTGTTCATAATATTGTAATATAACCTAAATTTATTATCAGTTATTGTAAGATTGTTGTGGTAATTCTGGATAGGCCAAGGTTACGGAAAATCAGATATATTTTAAACATTTATACCTGGGAATTGGTTAAATTGGGGACCAAAATGCCAGGAACAACAAAAGGAATAGGTTCTGCAATGAAATCACCGCAGGCTGGATTTGCAACAAGGATAAAACCCATAAACCCTAGACCTTTTGCCGTGTTGATGATGGCAGTGAGGCTGGATGTTCCGTTGTAGAATCCCGCTGAGAAGGTGCAAATGACGATGCTACCTTGCACTACATTGTGATCCAATGCTTCAGGATATTGGCACTCCTCGACATAAGGCGGAGTCCTTGGGAACGTCCCATCTGCCTTCACTGCATCCCTTGCCAAATCCAACTTATGCAAAAGTAAACCATATCCAAAAGTCGGTCCTGAAAACGATAAAGATAATCAATTCATGAAAAAATTATGGATGAAGTTGAACGAGGTCTAGTTAAAATGTTGTTGAAGTTAATATATTAGTACATGATAATCCCACACCTTCGATTTTTGTGCCATTTCCGAGAAGAATAGAACTGGGGTAATTTCTATCAGTGCCAGATGAAGCGACAGCTACAGCCCAAGGACTGTAAGAGACTACGCTCGAAGGACCTGGCCCTTGATTGCCTGCTGCTTGCAACATAAAAACCCCAGCTCTTCGAGCAGATAACATGGCAATATCATACGTGCTTAAGAAGGTAACAGTATCTTCTGGAGGTTCATCTGGTCCTACAGAAAGTGTTAGGATGTCCACTCCATCTAGAATTGCCTGATGTAATAGAAAGTTGTTCTACTTGTTAGGGAACTAGCCACTAAGTTTTGTACTATTTCGGTTAGAAACTTGGATGCCAAGTAAACTTGGAAAACCTGTCAAATTAAAGATCTTACGTGATCAATTGCTGAAACTACATCTGTTAAAGTTCCCACTGTAGGATACACAGCTTTATATACAGCAATTCTGTTATGAAAAGCAAAAATCACAATCAAAAGAAGCCAGAAATGTGAGAATTCTGGAATCTTGACACTGCTGCAATGTAAGCAATAGACAAAGTGTACCGCGCCCGTGGAGCCATCCCACTTGCTTCTCCATAGTAGTAACCATTTACAACCACTGGAACTCCAGCATTACCCGCAGCCGTTGATGCCACGTGACTTCCATGACCAACTGCATAAAAGGGTGAAAGAAAATCCACTGTAGAGTTAAGAGTGGCAGCAGCTTCAGCCCCAGCTGAGAAGAACTTTGCCGAGACTATTTTCCCATTGCATGAACTGGCTGGGAATCGAGGACCCGTTTCGCAAGCGTCTGAAAAATGAGAAATGTTTGAGGTGAAACGGTGCAGGGGATCATAAGCAAAACTGGGGTGTGTGGGATTGATGCCTGAATCCACAAAACCAATCACAATTCCTTCGCCGGTGCCACGATCATCTCCTCCCTCCAGTGTCCATGCTCCTTGGGGTAGTCCAAGGAATTCAGGACAGTACGTTGCCATCAACCTTGCTCCTCTGTCTCTCTCAACCAACTTCACTCCTGCCGCATCTTTGAGCTTCTCAGCCTGTAATGTTCACCGTCAAATATATAGGTAAATGATAAACCTATATCCAACAAGTATCGGACTGCATTTTTATATACAAGCAATATTTTACTTCAAACCAATCTAAATTACGGGGAGTGAGACTCAATCTTAGTGAATAGGGGGAGCACATATGCTCCAACCAATGTGGCTACGCCTAAATCCGCATATTGGACTGAAATTGTAAATTGAAATTTACTGGACCTTGGCCAAAAACAATTCTGAGGACCAAAATCCAAATTTCTCATAATCATGTGAAGTGTGCTTCTCCTTTGCACCCAAGTTCAACATCTCCCGCCCAATTATTTAAATAAGATTACTATATCGCTCGAATAAAAAATATACACAGTGTCAGAGGACCTGGGAAGGGATGGTATGGACAGCAAAGCCATTTACAATGTGTTCAAAGCTGTAAAGCTTGCTGTAGCTTCCAGTCTCTAAAGCACTTTGTAGAAGTTGGTCATGAGAATCCACCAATCGCTTTGCATGGGCCTTGAAAACTTCACAAACCATATCCATAAGCATCAAACCATAGATAATTAAGATCATAATCAGCAATTATCATTATAAACACACACGTATATAAAGAATCTCTGTGCAGGACATCCTATCTTTTTTTTTTAAAATATGACGTTCTGCACAGAATATCTCTTTCTCAAGATATCACGTCTTCAAGAAAGACAAAATATCATGCACAGAGCGGGGCTGTATATACATGAAAACTGGATTAGACAAGTTTTGTGTTCCCCATACCACCTGTTTAGACCAAGACGCCTTCCGTCTTCACGATATGATATTCGAGAACCTCCATGGAATGCAACCGGGTCTCCTTCCATCAAAAAACTATGTACAAGGCTCGCTCTTCCGCAAAACTAATGAACGCGACAGAAACAATAAGCGCAAAGACAAATATTGGACGCATTAGACTGGCCTTTCCTGCCATGGTTGCATCTCAGACTGACAAATATGTTGGGGATTATGATATTAATTTGTTCGGTTTAACGCTAATTATGTGCTGCTAAATGGTTTCGATATATAGGAGTCTGCAGTTCATGAATTATGGACACAAATTTACTTGTAAGCTTCACAGATTTAAAACATGAAGTTGCCATATCTATCATGCAAACAATCAATGGTTAACTGCACTAATAATGTGAATAGAGCTTTCTTGAGTTCGCTGTTTTTTGGTGCCGAGAGACGGGGTGGACGGGTAAAAGCAAGAGCAAGAGCTAACTTCTGGTTCACTATGAACAGAATCTAGGAGCTTTAGTAGCACCCATTTGGAATAGGGTGCGCGACGGTATGAATCTGTTTCTCTTGATCACCTGGTGGCTAAAAATTCAGTCACACACTGGTGGCGACGGTGTGAATCTGTTTCTCTTCATCACCTGGTGGCTAAAAATTCAGTCACACACCGGCGACCACGCGTTCTCCGGTCACTTGGTGACAGGAGAGCATTTTTACAAACTGTATATCATGGAAACCATCTACCGAAGTTCGAAAAGCAGCCATCAGACCAGACACTAACATTTTACTGTGCATTATTATCTGCAGATATTTTCAGCTGCCGTGGAGCACTACAAACTCCTACAACTTAAACATACAAAAAGTTATCCGATCACAACGTTGACAGATTCATAGGTTAATAACAAAAAGTACGAAGCAACAATTTTTGGACGCAACAGATTCATCGGTTGTCGAGATAGAGAACAAGGTTTGAACTGAATTCTGTTTAGTTACAATTGCATGACCAATTTCCTGAAAATGAAGCTGGTGCACACGGCCTAAATCAAACTACGGTCATGATATGTAACCAAAAGCTAAGGGCCTGATATCCTACTGTACAGCCCACACGGCAGACATCAAAAGAGTTGATAACATCTCGGCTCTAGCAAACCGATGCTTGCGAAGGATGTCATTTCTTACGGCGCTTGGGCTCGAGCTGCAAAAGGTCATGAATTCTGATTAGAAATTTGATCGGAATAGATTTAACTATTAACATAATTTGATATATAGTGTAGGATGAATAAAACACCGGTGAATAACAAGGAGAAATGACAATACATTTCCATGAACAAAGCACCATTGATCATAAAATATACAGTGAACATGTGAAACTATTATTAATATATGATTCAGTCTTGTCTATAATTATCTAAAACTCCGTTATAAAATATCGCACCTTCGCGACAGCTGCTGGAACTGCATTCTGGGGCTTTTTCCCGTCCCCTTCAGCTGAACACTCGGAACACAAAAAGCTTTCCAATTTTTTTGCTTCCACAATAGTCATGGCCACACAAGCAGGATGGTACCTACAAGTTCGATAGTAAAATAAATCCGTGTATGTATCAGGATAAATCCATGTATGCAACAGCAACCAAAAGTTCATCTGAAAAAGATCAAATATTAAACTACCAGAGTACTAAGACCATCATGAATTCAGGAACCAGTTCTCAAGCATGAATGTGAACAATAAACTTCTAGCTAAACAAACATATGAATTCGACCCAAAAAATTAAAAAAACACACATGAAAATCAATCTTCATACGGTACAAATTTCGAGTTGGTTAAGGCAAATTGCAGTGATAACTCACATAAGTATATAACTTAAAGCCGCCGGGAGGGAGAAGAAAACATTAGCAAAATGATCATTCAATCCAAACTTTTACGCTGTTTGCACATATGCCAACTGGCGTTTGAGACTGCAACTTGGGGATCCGGCCTCTTAAATGTTTCCCTTTCTCCCTCTCTTTTGGGCACAAATTTTAATCAATATTCGAAGCACATTCTGTCAACAAATCCCATCTCCGAAACGCTAATATAGTACGAAGGAAAAATGAAGTTACCAGTCCTTACACCCCTCACATTGTACCATGAGGTCATCCGGGTTATACGGCATCTCACACTTGCAATACCTTCAAAACACACAAAACCAAATCCATCAAATCCCACCCATAAATACTACATTTCCACCAAATCCCAACCTACGAACTACATTTCAACTAAAACCGAAAACAAACACAGATTACACTCACACAGCAACTCGGTCGGGGGAGAACGCTCCAGTAGCAGCTTTGTACTCAAATCTACAGTAGTAATCTTCAGCTCCAACATTCTCCAGCTTAGTGTAGTTCTTGAAGGAGTGCACTGTACACTTGCCTTCAATGGTGTGAGCGCTCTGCACATCATAGTGGTCGGACAAGAACAACTCTTTGGCTCCATGGAACTGCCTCCGCCCTCCAATCGACTCCTCCGGCCTGTAATACCACCTCACTCTCACTTTCATGCCGCCTCGACTTTCACCTTCGATCTTCTCGATGCGCGCCACGTACGGCGGCTTTCCGGTGTCCGACGGGCGCATCAGGACGGTATCCCCAGCTGCAAAATCACCAAACTTCCTCAACGCATTTAGCGTTCCAGCAAAAATCGAACAACCCAAAAATTATTTTTTCGAAATTTTTCGAAAATTAACAAAAAGTTTTGATTTTTGTTACCTCTGACGATTTTGTTGGTGCCCCTGATAGTGTAAGAGTCCGCGTCCTTTGACTCCTTTTTTCCTGGTCTGGTTCTGGCCATGTGGGTCTTTTCTGGGAAGTTCTGGTGGTGGAAAATGTGGGAACTTTGAATCAATTTCAATGGCGGAAACTGGTTTGATTTCAAAGCCCTATAATTTTGAACATTTGCGAGGGAGAATTCAGACCGGAAAACCCTAGAGTCTAGACCCTTCTTCTCATGGAGACTAGAGAGAGAGAGAGAGAGAGAGCACAGAAGCGAGTGCGACGCTTGACCTTTATGGGGTCCCATAATTCCCGTCTTAAATTTTGGCGTTAAATGTTTGTTCCTTTGCACGCCTCTCCAATAATTTTTATTTTGTTCTTTTGTGATTAGTAACTTTGTTTTTCATATGTGATTCAAATTTTTGGTCCGTGTAAAAACAAGATTTTGATGATGCAACGAGGAGGGCGCCTGAGGGTTTAGTTTTAGAGGGATCGATCGGTTGGGTTTGGCTCTTTGTTTGTTTGTTGTTGTTGGAGGGAGGGTTTGGCTTTTCAAGCAGCCGAAAGCACGACACAACTTACCTAACCTATGTTTGAAAATATCGGAAATTTGAGCTTAAGTTCTTAATAAATGATAACATGTGTCACAATAACAGTGGTTAAAATTCTTATCGTAAATTTGAGATTAGATTTTTTTTATCAGAGATTTTCTTAATCCACACACAATAATCTTATAAAAACTCAACTGTTGTCATCTCTCACAAAAGCTGTAATGTATAAGTAAGTCATGTTTCTTTTTTTTTTTTTTTTTTTTTTTTTAAAATCGATTTCACGAAGCTTTTACAAAAATTCACTTCTACAATCATACCCTATTTTTCGAGTTATTGTCACCGCACGGCATTTATTGAGAGTTGATCCTTTCCAGACCTCACTGTCCGAAGCCTAAAAACCAACAACCATTCAAGAGAGAGTGATTCGAGCATTTGAGTATGTATGAAGTGAGCCAGCAAAATGAGTTAATAGAAGCCGTATTTAATTTGAGTGGTCCAAATTTACTCGTTCTTAGGCTCCAGACAATCCAAACGAGAAATCCAACTCATTTACTAAAATTGGACACATTTTCTAAAATGACTGCGACCCCATAATGTAACATTACCTTCATAACAGCAAAGGTGCACAACATTTTAACAGCTATGGAATGAATGAATGTCCTCTAAACCTCACTTCATATCCAACACAAAATTTTGCGGTGAAGTTAACCTAAGACATAGAATTCAACGTATCAATCACTTAATTTGATCTGCATACTGTACGAAAATCAACACATTATTTTTCGGCTAAAACTTTTGGCGTTCTTTTAGCCCCTTCAAAAAACAAAAGCCGGTACCTATATGAGCTACAAGTAATGAAGTGGAGCAGACGATTAGATACTACGTCAACGGTTGATTGGAGTGTGCATCCGCTTGACAATTTCATTTACAGCTGCTCGGGTCATCACCAGTGTGTCATGCTGCAGGATGCTGTAGACGTTCAAACCCTGCAAAAAGTGAGAAACACACATGAGTACTGAGTTCAAACCGAACTTATATGGCAGCTGGTTTCATGTATCTACAAATCTTGAGAATGTTGTTTCTGTTGTTTGCTTCTAGTTCTCATGAATCAAACATCTTCGACAATGTAAATGTTTGTTAATAATTTCTATCTAAGCCATTGCTAATAATATAAGAAGCCCACTAATTTGTAGAACAAAGTGTCTATGTGGAATGGCATCTCAGGCTGCATTAAGGATCAGAAAGAGCAACTCACTACTGCGGGCAGCACGTTCACATAATGCAAATTTTGTGTAGCCAACTTGAGCTTTTCGGGTAACATTTGTTTACCATCCTCTGTTTTAGTACCATCCACCAGCAAAAATTTCTTGGAGCCCTCCATTTGCTGGACGTAGTTTACAATATTCTTGGTTTTATGCGTGGGGACCTCAAAATCTTCAAAAACCAGAAGCTGTAGTTTCATACAGTTTCACTTGTTAAGTTCCACCAGACAAAACTTTAATTAAAATAATTCGGCCACACAGCACAACAAAGCAAGGGGAGAGAGAGAGAGAGAGAGAGAGAGAGAGAGAGAGAGAGAGAGAGAGAGAGAGAGTTGCCTTTCCCTCTGCTGCTCGAGCTGTCAGAGCAATCTTTAGTCCTAGACGCCGAACCTTCTTATTCAGCTTAATTTCATGGCTTCGCGGCTTAGGACCATGCATTGTGCATCCTCCTCTGAACTGTTAACACCCATTAAGTCCATTAGCAAAACCACCTTCAAGGCAGAGTTAGAATGAAAATCAGGAAACATGCTAATTCAAAAGCATGATATATCAGTACCTGGGGACCACGCAATGTTCCGTGCCTTGCTCGACCAGTACCCTTCTGATTCCATGGCTTTCTCCCAGTCCCACTAACCTCACTAATAGTTTTTGTTGAATGTGTTCCCTGTAGACCAATCAACAAGCATAACCTTTTATCTCATCTTCCTCACATTCACTTTTGTATAGTCTTGCCAGTGGTTCATCATGAATGCTTCCACGGTATGAAAAATCTAAACTTGGACGACAATAATTTCTAAACTTATGACAACACAGTTGAACCCCCCTCCTCTCTCCCCCCCCCCCCCCCCCCCCCCCCTTTTTTAATCCATTTCTCTATATGAAAGCCTGTGCAATTCCTAGTGGCACAGCAGCTAGAATATCCTCTTTCTTCATCAAAAATAAAAAATATTACGGCATAGGTTAAATAATGAAAATTTGATGTATTTGAGGTACCAATGCGTAAGTATATACATAGATAAGTAAATACCTGTTGTCGTTTTGCTAGCTGCCATAGTACAACCCGATGAATAATATCCTTCCTAATAGGTACATCGAAAACATCACCAGCCAAAACTGTGAAGCCTTTATCTTCATAATGAAAATTTGTCACTGGAATCACAAGGTCCTGACCGAGCCCTATATTACAGTACACAGAATCAGTAAAACAGTTCTACAGTACATGTCCAGTTTTGATAAGTAACATTAATAAACCATACCTACATCTACACGTAAACCAGGAAAAGTAATATGTAAGTGTTACAACAAACTAACAGTTTCTGCATGCACTGCAAGAATATGCCTACATAAATGTATCTCACTTAGCATAAAAGACAAACGAAAAAAACTTTCAAACTATAGGATTGTTCTTGATTTTCACAGAATCATCCACATGTAGATGAGATAGAATTCATTACAGCTATGCTAAAAGTACGATAGATGTCCAAACTGATTTTTACCAAGTGATAAAGATGCAATGTTAGTTTAAATATATGTGTGTGCGTGTGTGTATTTTTTATATTCATAGCAGAGATCGGGGACAACACATTTGAACTTATGCCAATAGGTGGAGAAAGAATTCAGCTCAAACCTACAGTGTAACAGTTAATGCACACGTTTCAATACTTATAATGCTTTTTATAGGTAACATAAATCTCAACACATGCAAAGTTTTGAGCTTTCCTCGTACCTATAGAACGCTCTGATGCAACCACAGGCTTTGCAGACAATAAATTAGAGGGAAAGGCACCTCCACTTGATTCGGGAGTCGGGTTGGAGGTTGAAAGCCTTCGATTTGCTAGAAAAAATGATCCAGGCTATAAAGAGATACAACAAAATATGAGTTAATTACTTAGTTGTCACATATTAAGAAAGCAAAAACTCCAACAAATCAGCTTATTGAATATATGAAAAATATGATATAGTTTAACTTTCACTATATTCTTTTCTTTTTCCAATATAAAATCTAAATATAATTATGCAAAGAATACCTTGAAAACAGCTGACAACTCTCCAGAAAGTAAGGTATCCCCGGGAACATGGCCGCAAAAATCTGTTCAAGGGCCAAAATAAAGGTTGGACAAAATAATAATGCTTTCAATTCCTTCCATGGAAGTCAATAACAAACAGCTTACGAAAGACATGCACACGCCCTTACCGAAAGTAGCACGAAATGATGATGGATATAAATTACTTGAAGAATCACAGCGGCCTGATGCCAATACAGAACCAAATGAACGCAAAAGCCTTCTGGATACCAACAAAGCCATACCGACTTATATTCAACTGGTTATCTACATCCACAAATCAGCTTTCTCAGTCTTCTTACTACAAAATACACCACTTGGGACCTTCAATTGATGTTTACACTTTACACCAACATGAATTCATCACAGAACTTACTTCGCCGTCGAACTCGGTCTCTCGTTCTCAAATGCACGAATGTGATACTACAGTGTTTCACACTATCACATAATACAGACTATCATTACAAACCATTTTTTTCTTGGGAACTTTAACGAAAAGCTTCCAGTAATATTCACTTTAACAAAAAACCACATTTTTACACTAAAAAGTCAATCCTGATACTATTTACTTTGCCCTTTATTTTATTCTTATCGTTGAAATTCAAAATTTTCAAGTTCTTTTCATTAGTTTTCCTTTTTTTCTTTCCATTTTTATTCGAATGCTTTCGAGGTGTTCGATAAAATGCCCAAAACAAAAAGATAACTTTAGCAGCTGAGGAAAGAGTGACGAACACTAACCTAAATTGTCCAAACAAACCTTCATCTAAACACAGAATTGAAAACGCATAATAATCAAAAGTGCCCAAAAAACAAAGCGAAGACGAAGAAGAAAGAAGTACCCAATTCGGAAATGCGGTAGGCCGTTGATCCTCCAAACGGAGAGTGCTCTCGTCGTGGAAGGAGGGCGAATGAGAGAGAGAGAGAAAGGTGGCCGGAGGCAGGTCTGGTGCTGCTGCAAGATGTAGACGAAAAACCCCCAATTTCCTAAACCCCAAATTCTGTGTGTTCGGATTGACAAGCGACCAAATATGGGTTGGGCTTATTATTATTATTACGCACGTTTGTTATGGGCTTATAGTTTATGAAGCCCAAGTACTCTTTCCTGGAGGCTGGACTGCGGGATTTTATTTTTTATATTTTTAGGTAAGTAATTTTCCACACTTCCATAATTCGACAATTAAAAACTACTTTCACACGTAAACACGTTTATTTAAAATTCAAGTGTTGTTGTCATTTAGTATTACGGTTTAGTAGTAATCCTTATGTTAGAATTCCTCTGTCCCACATCGGCCAGAAGGCTTGAGAACAAGCCATTTATATAGAATTACCCCACTCTAATTAATACCGATGTCTTTTGTATTAAAACTTCACACTTGACGGATTGAGCAGGTGGCCAAGTGGGGACAGTATCGGTGTTGTTGAAGTGGGCCCATGGCCTGTCTACCTAAAATTTAAGATGGTATCAAAGCCAGGGAACAGAGGACGGGTCTGTACATCCACGTGAACTGGTGGATCCCCTTTAGCCCCGCGCAAATGGGTGAGCCCCGGCTTGGCTCCACATAGTTGCCGATGTGTGGGACTCCACATCCGACCCATAAAATGAGGTCTCACGTGCGGGGAAGTGTTAGAATTTCTCTGTCCCACATCGGCCAGAAGGCTTGAGAACAAATCATTTATATAAAATTACCCCACTCTAATTAATATCAAGACCTTTTATATTAAAACCCCACACCTGACAGATTGTGCAGGTTGCCGAGTAAGAACAATATCGGTGTTGTTGGAATGGGCCCATAGCCCGTCTACCTGAAATTTAAAACCTTTTATTGTAAATAAGAAGTTATAGGTTTGATTCTCGCCAACGACTAACTTGAACCAAATTATTGCTAGCTCGTTATAAAACTTTGCCCATTATAATGTACAAAAATAATTTAAAATTTTAATCTCCCTTTAATATCAGCACATTAAGAACCCACTATTTATATTGGTTAACAATTAAATTGTCACATTTTATACTACATACATTGTAGGACGCAGGAACACATGCATGATTGTGAGACATTAATCACAATCCATAGTCAAAAGGAATTAATAGATAAGTTGTTAAGAAATGCATCGGCGTTCCACAATAACACATTTTAAATATATCTAATTAGCAGCGTACTAATTGCTTGTCATCTTAATTCAGAGCAATGTGGGAGAGATATCCATGGGAAATGGATTTCCCAAGACACCGTCCATGTAGTAGTGGCCGGGGTGGCTAGCATCCATCACCACGAACTGCATATCCTCCGTCGGCTTCCAATGCCGCTTCCTTTGGTTAATGAACCAGTTGTTTATCTGCTTTTGGTCCAGCCCCGTTGATTCTGCCAGAGCTAGCTTCTGCGACTCCTGCATCGATCATGTGTACGCACATAATTAACCTACTTCTTGATGGGAAAATGTGAGCATATGTTTATTTCACTTGAACGTATATAGAACGAAAGATGTATAAATTTGTATAATAAGATACCGATGGATAAGGCCATTTGTAATGACGGCTCCACCAATCAAGCAGTTGTTGCCTGGCTTCTTTAGGCAGCTTCCCCTTCTTCCTCTTCTTCATGAACTCCTGCTTCAAACTACCCAAATATCCACTGTACTTGCGCAATAGCTGACCTTTAAGCTCCCTGTCTTCCGCTTGCGGATCTATGAAGTTGTTAACATCAACCTCTTCTTCAGATGATCCGTTATTCCTATCAATTCCCTCGCCATAACCTAATGACATACAACATGAACACATAATTAAAGTACATCAAGGACATAATTAAAGTACATTAAGGATTTAAACAGACTTTCAATATCGTCGTTGCAGCCCTTATCACCCATAAAAGAGACTAACGTGTAAATGTTTACATTAGGGAATCTTCATTCATGTTGTCTCGCTTTATCAATCAAAACGAATTTTATCTCTGTGGGTCACTGACCTCTTACATCGGATCTCTTGCGAGGAAAAAAAGGCAACTTAATGATTGAAAGGTCAAAAGTTCCAGCTGGGTTCAAATAAAATTCATCGGGTCTATCGTTGAGTTCTCATGATAGTTTTATGCATATATATTACTGAAAACATATACTGTTGCTATAAAAACATTTCTGCATTCGATGTAGTATCTCTATTTCCTTTCATCTTTTTTCTTTTTGCCAAGGTTTTTGCAGAATTATATCCCGAATCATGAGGAATTTATATTCAGCCATCGGAATAAAAGTAACATTCAAGTTCTTGTACAGGTAAAAAGTGTGATGTAAATAGCGTCTTTTTCTTTTGGAACCTAGGGGCTCCTTTATAGACCCACAGACACTCTTTTTCACTCCCAAAATCAAATAAATCACAAAGCCATGCAAGCCAACTCTATTCAAAACATATAGGCATGGATCTAGCTTCCTTAATCCTACTTTGAAATGCAATTACTACTTTATCAATTTCATACTAAATAAATCTGTGTTTGGGAGTGTGTAGTCTCCCAAGTTACAAGGAATTCTTGTCCAGAATCCAGATTAGAAGCAACAGAATAATTTTCACTCAAGCAAGCAAGGCTATCAAGATCAAGGATCGATGAAGTCACAAGTACAGCTGCTTGACAATGGTTAGTTCAAGATTAGTTAGGTTTTGGTTGACAATGTTTAGTTCTAGATTGGTTAGAGTTGGTTAATTAACTCAGCTGCCTCTTCACTTGCTGAATCAGTTGGAGTATTGAAATGCATGAAATGTTTCAAGGATTATTTTTAACATCTTTTATGCAATTGAACGACAATAACTGATTTAAAATAAAAAAAATGTTAAATCAGTATTTCACAATTTGAAATGTTTATTAAATAGATTCAGTAAGGACATATATTTGGACTGAAGCACCCTTTTTTGCACAACCAGAAGAAACATAGAAGAAATGTATGCTATATTATTGTAACATTTAAGGTGAAAGAGAACACAAACATTCAAAACCTTCATTAAGGATATGTTGCCTAAATGAATTGAGTGCAGAAAACCAGATTACCCTGCGTCCAGCATACCGTGTGTAACAACAATAGGGAAATCAAGAGTATACATATGTAAAATTCAAGGAACCAAATAGTCAATCTCTAGCACATCCCTTTGAGGATCTGTATTAATCTTCATGAATTAGAGCCACCAACTCAGTTGTTTTGGTCCATACAGACTGCCCATGATATGTATCATTGTATTAGGACAACACCATGAGTCAAGTTTACCATTTACCGTTTGGGAGATATTCTCTGTATGTGTAAAAATCCAGGATATCCAACTTATAAGCTAGCTATAGTCCTTATAGATTCAATAACTGTGTGCAGAAATATTTCTAAAGCTTAAATATACATGTTTTGAAATACATCAAAACATCGACGATTTCTAGAACTCGGGTCTATATTTCTATAGTAACCTTAGAACAAGGCAGACTAACGTACAAAAGTTTATTTACAGAGTTGACTAATATTCCAAAGAGCGTAAAACTAAATACAAATATTTTGTCGTCCACACAAATTGGCCACTAGGGCTTTAAGAAAAAACCTAATAGTTATGAAACAGCAGTTACTTTGAGCATTGCTATATATATATACACGACGGGGGGAAAACGCAAGCCAAACCATTTGTCCTAATATATATACAGTGCGTCAATTTCAACTAGGTAAAACAAGGTGAAGAATTCAAAACAAACCAAACAATCTCAACCAATACACACACCGAGAAGAGAATCAAAGCCATATAGTTCTATGCAACGCCATCGATTTGTCGATATAGCTATAAAATAACATGACTTGCGAGTGGAAATTAGCCTGCTACTACCCTAGTACTAAAACAGTTCTATATATACATAATACATCCCAACGAACAGCAGATATATAATTAAATAAATTGTAGAAGGAACCAATTAATATATCAAATGAAAGAGTTTGAAAAGGGAGAACAAAGAACTAATTGCGTACCCACTTTGGAACGCATTTGTTAATTAATAAAATAAACCTACAGGATCTTGGAAACGACATCCATGCAAGGCTGGTTATTATATTGCATAGCATTAAAATATTCAGATAATAAAAAATAAAGAAAATACTCAAAATGTCTTCCTAAACATTAAAGAAATTTGAGAAAAAGAAACAGTGATGATATACATATAGAGAGAGAGAGAGATAATGGTGATGACGAACCTGCAGAATCGGAAGAAGAAGAAAGAGTAAGGGCTTTGAATTGGGACTCGATTCTTTGGAAGAAGATCATGGCTTCCTTGAAGGGTTTAGAGAGTTCTTGCTCATACTTGGTGAGCATCTCGCAGTAGGCCTCCATGAACTGATCCAAAGCTGGATCTTCACCGAGAGATCCTGATCCACTACTACTACTCACCATTTGACCTATTGTCGCCGCCGATGCGCACGCTTCTTCCAGCCTCGCCACCACTTCAGGCGGCGCTCCAACCTGCACATCATTGTTTTCAAATAAATATTATTATTCAAACTCTTTAATGATGATGATGAAAACATATGTTTAAACAAGATCAAAACTCAAAAGGCGAAGAGACTTGGACCATCTTTATAAACAACATAATTACTTAAGTTCCTTGTTAACATAATGAACTCAATGAGGCATGACAAGAACATGATGGTAGTAGTAGTACTGCATGAACAACTTCATAATACCAAATCTTTCGTTGAGGATGGGCGTTCTGAGTCCTACATAGTCCTACATCGCCCTACCAAAGGTGCTAATATCGCCCAATCCACATTATTTTAACATAATTTACAATGAGAATATGATTATTAAGATTCTCAGATCTCAGCTTCCCAAAGGAACGAAGCTTGGAAACATGAAATATCTATCACTTTCAGGCGCATGTCAACTAATATGTCCTTTCAAGCAAACAAAACAAAAAAACAAAAAAAGAGGACAACGAATGGAGAATTGTGGTACTAACTCCTACGTTTGTAGGAATTGAATACCTATTTGGGAGGTCAATATAAATATATATGTGTATTCTAATTATATCGATGGTTTAAATTTTACCTTTTGACAGTTGATATAGGAGGCCAAGAGGCGGTGATAGTGAGGATGAGCCATGATCTTAGCCTTGACAATTGAAGATGAAGAAGAAAAAGAGCTGCCGCCAACACCTTCATTATTGTTGTTGTTGTCCATGAAATAGGAGGCGGCAGCTGGGTTGTGGAGAACGAAGGAGGAGCCGCCGCTTGTGTTATGCCGGTCGTGATGGTTGTTGGACGGAGGCAACTGGGGAAGCTGGAAACTGATGAGTCGTACTAGTATTGTGTGCATCTGCATTAGGATTAGGGTTCATAGGTTGATGATGATGATGATGATGGTGAGAGTGATCAGCATGATGTGATGAAGTCATTAGAGGCATCATCATCATTGGACACATTCCTCCTCCATTACTGCTGCTTTCTCCAAAAGCCATCATACTACAAGTGCCATTGGAACCACCTTCCATTCTCTCTCTCTCTAGATCTCTTGCTATATCCTATCCCTCACAAATTAACTTTGTTACCTCGTCCTTTCTACTAGTTTCGTTCACTTGGCTTTGCTACAAATCACTTCTCTCTCTCTCTCTCCCCCTCTCTCTCTAGGTTAAAGTGTTTTTATTTTCTCTGTCCTACGTAATAATGTTATACATGCATATGCGGATCTGATCCTGAACTATATCACTCCTCCAAAGAAAGAGAGGGCTCTCCCGGGTTTTATGCTACAACTTTGATTGAGCAGGCTCTTAACAGGGAAATCCTAAGTAGTGAGTGAGAGTGAGAGTGATAGTGGTGGAGGATATGGTGGGTCAGTAGTTAATTATGTTAGTGTTTTTTCTTCATTTGCTGGGTCTGCCAAAGCCTGCCTCAGATTTCCTTTGCAAAATTCCTGTTTTATCTCTCCCTCCCTCTCTCCCTCTCTCCCCCACATGCATTTAACTCCTCACAGACATACAGAAACGAATACAATACTCTCTCTCTCTCTCTCTCTCTCTCTCTAATATGGTAGGGTTTTGCAACAGGAACAAATAAAGGGGCGGTGTTTCACAAAGACTCAAAAAAAATTTTGAGGATCATTGTAAAATTCATTGGTAATATAAAAAGTAGTTTAGTTATTTATAAGTAGATAAAGAGTTTTTTTCTTGTTTTGATTTGAAAGTGTAATAAATTTTCAAGCTAACACATGGATGATATAAATCAGATGACGTAAAACATATATGATCGTAATACTTTATATATAAGATAATTTGCTCTGATATGATAAAAAAAATTATTACAAAAATTAATTAACAACATAAAAAATAACCTAATTATTTATAAACAAATACAAAATTTATTCATAATCTCTAAACACTCAGCTGGTTATTTTTCTTTCTTAGACCATCTCCAAATCTGGGCTAAAAGCTAAATTACCCCCCCCAAAACACTCTCCAACCCATGTTAAAATTTTAGGCTAAATGCCAAATGTTATTTCTGGGCCAAATACCCCTCAGCTTTCCCCCGGGGTAAATCCCAAATGTTTATCGGAATTTAAATTTTTTTAGATTAAAATGTTCATAAAATTAATTTACAATAATCTACATATTTTTTTTTAAGAAAAAAATTAGTCTAAGTTCATTCTTTAATAATTTCGGGCTAAAATTTTAGGGCAGAAGGGTTGGAGCAGAAAAGATGTTTCTGGGCTAAAAGCCAAATTTTTCGGGTTAAAAAATTTAGTTTTTAACTCAAAGGTTGGAGATGGTGTTAGGGTAATACAAACTCATTTGGTTATTATTGATAGATGTGTGAATGTGAATAACAATAACAAATAATAAATATATGGTAGATGCCGTGGAGATAGGAAGGGAGAGTAACTGAGGAGGGGAGAAATCTATTACTCTATCACACTCTGTGTGTCGTGTGATGCAAAGCTTTACCTTCCCGATGAAAACTCTCACCCTCTTTTCTTGCACTGCCACTGATGCGCTGCCATTACTGGCAAAGAATTATGAGAGAGATAGAGAAGGGAGAGACCCAACGATCGATCAAATCGAGGGAAGAGCCAAACGGGACACCTAATGGCTAAATAGTATATATATGTGTATGAACTCACACGGATGAAAATATTTTACACTAGGAAAATAAAAATTGTAGAGAGAGGGAAATTGGAATCACTACTGCTAGGTCTAGCTTTCTCTCTCTACTGTAGCCTTTGCTGCTTTTTTCTTTGTTACTACTGGAGCTTGATTGCAATCTGTCCACTCATTTAATATTCGCACTTCTGCTTGTTGTCCTCTTCTTCTTCCCCTACGGCCCAACGCCAACACCATTATCCATCATGATCAAATTAAAATAGTAAATATTCAATAAAGAATATGTCTTATCATGCAATATATATGGGCATATTTTAATTTAGTTTGTCATGTGCTTGTCACCTACCAAAGTACTGATGCTCGTGCCCTATCGGACACCCATATGCGTCTAGAATGTATTGATGTTGCCATTTTCTTTTCTCCTGGACACTTCTTTATACAAAGTCATTTCTCTTTGCACTGCTCAATCACAAGTTGAAATGGATTAACTTGTGTTAAAGAAACCATCAAGAATAATTAATGAACAAGTGCTTGCACATGCTCAATATATTCACGTAGTATGCTTTTTTTAGAGTAACATTTACTATTTTATTAACCTCTTTGATATTTTATTTGAATAATAATTATCTAATGCACTTACGTTTATGCATAATAACAGAAGTTAATAGTATAATAGAACTGCCACGATGTCATATATATGTGTGTGTATATATATATATATATATATATATATAATATATATTCAAAGTTGGTCTATAATAACTATGTCAACTTGTTTTATAAAACCTTGTCATCATTATTTTAGCACAAAGTGAAATTATCACTCTAAGCTATATTAAGCAAAAAGGGAAAACTTGAATTCGATATGCTGTGGGTTGAAAAAAAATGTTTTATTCACTATGACAAACGCTTGCAACTTATTCATTATTGTGTAACCTTATAATAAAATTTTGACAATTATAATCCAACATTATATTTCTTGTAATTAAGACGTTGAATTAAGTTGACACTTACATTCACATTGAGCCTTTCACGTGAAAGTTGTAGGGCCAATAATGGTAACGATGATTGGGTATTTTAGACGTCCACTCACAAAATCTAAAATGTCTATACTGCAACAAGATGACCACCTTGTTATAGTCTAAATTGTAACATACGATGAAACTCAACCTCATCTTGTAACAATTTTTTGGTAAAATTTGAAGGGGGATCAATATCTAAATTATTTTGTTAATTTTATTGAATTAAATTGTATTCCAATACCCTTGGATAACGACACCATAAACTTGGTTTCTCATTAAATTAAATGGTATTCCAATACCCTTAAAAAAAACACCATAGACTTTTCTCATTGTTATGTACTGCTCTATACCAATACCCTTGTCAAATTCACAGTTGTGTATTCATATCAATCTTCTTAGTCACTGTGAAACCCTTTGCTGTATTTGGCCAAATGTGCTTGCGTTCTCTTTCAATTATATAATACCTATGAAAAATGTTTTTTTTAATAATACCTATGAATAATGTTAGAGACATTAAATTTGCATACTAATAATGTGTCACCAACAAAAAATAAGCATGTTAAATAATAATACTTAGATAATAATCCAATTATCAACTTTTAAGTCATTTACTTTATAAATTTTAACCTACACATTTAATCTCTCTATTATTACCTAATATCTATATATACAAATGATTTATGTACAATTTTTTTTTTCTCTAGCAGTACCTAATCTCTACTAATTAATAAAACACTCATTGTCAACCAAAATCCTATGAAATTACCAATTTAACCATCTAATTAAAACATAACATGAATAAGAAATATGGGGCAGAAATGTAATTTCACACCACCAAATATTGCTGTTTTTTTTCAAAGCCTCACCTACATGTAACCTTAACATATATCTAATTAAAAAAATTTTAAAAAAAATTTCTCACTCCCACATTATCTATCACTCTCTTCCTCTCTCCTTCTATTTCAAAAAGAAAAATTAAAAAAAAAAATTATCAAACACTTGGTGTGCGCCTATATGCTAGTATCTATATATACAAATGATTTATGTACAACATTTTTCTTTTCTCTTGCATTACCTAATTAATATTTATATATACGAATGACTTATGTACAACTTTTTTCTTCTTTCCTCCTTTTGATGCTAAGAAAATGCGTTCTTGATTCTTGGTAAACGTATTTAGAATTTTAGACGATACCATCTCAAGGAAATTAAGAAATGCTTGGAGAGAGAGTTTTTTTTTTTTTAAGTCTTCTTGGATTTGGTTCGAGTGAAAATCAACTGACAAAATCTTTTTCCTAAGCAGTATATGTATATAAGGTCATCTCTAACTGAAGGAGGGCAAGAGAGCTCATTTTAACTCTATAGTTTTTCGAGAAATTAATATTTTAATGAATAGTGGTCATATTTCTTACCATCTCCAACCGAGGGGCCAAAGGCCAAACATAGCTCTGTGACAAAAAATCATCTCCAACTGAAAGGGCTAAACGATCATAGGTCAAACATAATTTATTATTTTAAATGAATTAATATGGTTACTAAATTAAATTACCTCAATAATTTTTCGATATGGAATCTCAATAATTTGACGTCTTGGATTTGATTGTCACGTGTCGATATGTGCGTAACTTTGCATATTTCTTGTTGAGAAATAATCTCAATAATTTTATGTCTCGGATTTCAAGTCTCACGTGTCGATGTGTGAGTAACTTTGCAAATTTATTATCGATAAGGAATCTCAATAATTTCACGTCTCGGATTTCGAGTGTCACATGTTGATATGTGAGTAACTTTGCAGATTTCTTGTCGATAAGGAATCTCAATAATTTTACGTCTCGAATTTCGAGTGTCACATGTCGATATGTGAGTAACTCTCCAGATTTCTTGTCGATGTGTAATCTCAATAATTTTTCAGATAGGATTTCAATTGCTGGGTGTTGAGATGTAATTAGTTGTGGGAATTTTAGATAGGATTTTTATATGCATGACACTTGTTATCTTTAGCTTCCAATGTCCATAAATATGATGTATATTAGCCTATAATTCACACAACTTCAGCTTTGCCCTCTCCAATATATTTTTCAATTTAAGTTTGCAATGAATTCAAACTTTAGATCATCTTCGGATTCCAATTGGGGGTCCTCATCCAATTCTAAATTGGAAGATAAATGGGTGCATATGAAATGAGAAAGTGAGGAGTTCGATGAAGAAGATGAAACATGACGCAACACATCATATATGGCAGTCATGGCTGGGGTCATGAGGTGTGAGGCAACTGAAGAACAACCTCAACGAGGTGGCTCTGTTGCTGGTTGCGATTACAAGCCAAGAAATAGAGAGATGGTGCATGAGAATCTAATGAACAACTACTTCAACACCAACTCGATGTACACTGAAGAAGATTTCAGACGTCGTTTCCAGATGAGTTGTCATGTCTTCGAGCATTTACTTCATGATGTCTAACATGTCAATCCATACCTTCGACAGAAACTGGATAGAGTAGGTCGCCCTAGTTTCTCACCTCATCAGAAGGTTATTATTGCATTCTAAATGCTGGCATATGCCTCCCCAGCTGATGCGATGGATGATACATATGGTATGTCTGAGTCTACATGCCTTGATAATCTTGTTGAATTCTGTCACACAGTTCTTCAACTTTACAAATAGGAGTACCTCCGTGAACCAAATCAAGCAAATCTGGATCGGCGCATTCGCAAAGCTGAAGACCGTGGCTTTCCTCGCATGATAGGGTCATTAGATTGCATGCATTGGCAGTGGAAGAACTGTCCCACCGAATGGCAATGAGACTTTAGCGGAAGATCGAGAAAGCCACAAATAAGTACCTACAACAAGATCTTGTTGCACATATTTGGACGAAAAG